CGAGGAGAGGTTTAGACGGGCGTGGAAAGCTGGCTAGCGGGCCCAAACAGGACGCCGCAGCTGGATTTGCGGCCAAGATTCTACGCAGTGGTCCGGGCCACAGGCATCTCAGCTCCGACCCTTTGCCGGTCCGCTGGGACCTACTGGGAGATCGTTGGAGATCTCACCACATCCAGCAGCGTCACGTCACACGGCTTCCCATCGGAGTTGGAGTCCCGTGTATACTTTGCAGGGGCTGGCATTGAGGAGTTCCAATCGAGACCATGAACATGGACAGCCTGGACACAGGTCTGACCCTGGACAGTTTGGTGTTTGCTATAGATGCCATCCAGCCCTACGTGTTGGGGTGGCCACTTGGCGAAGAGCTGGACGGGGAGGCAGAGGCCACAGTCTTGTCAATCATGCGGAGAGAGGGAGGTCTTCTTTTAGCTTTGCCTTCAGTTTTCCTTCCTCAAGCTGTCGTAGATCATGGAAACTCTGGAGAAGACGGGATTTTTGGACCGTCAGTTTTGGTCAACGTACCAGCTGTCATCTTCGAAGTATAGTTTCACCGACAGGTACGACAGTGAATGCTATGATCATCGATTGCACAGTAGATGTCCTGCTCCACATGAGAGAGTTCCAACAGCACGAGGACCTCGTCTACAACTTCGACGGGGATTCCCCGTATGCCTTTCCAGCCATCGATGCACTTTTGCCAAAGATCCATGCATGGGCAGCAAGCTCACTCGAGTCACGAGCCGGCTACTAGACGCCCGAAGAGCTCGAGGAGGAGGAGTCTACTCCTCAAGTTCTGAGGCTGCCAAGAAGAAACGCTGCCGCAAAGGCTACGCCTACAGGAGGTGGACCAAAGCCCAAGCGACCAACTACGGGGTCACTGGCGTCAGACATGCAGGGCCTTTTGTCGACCCTCCCCAAGATCAGCGAGCAACTGTCACAGCTCTCAGAGAGACAAGCAGCGTTGGAGAGCCGCATCCCCCTGCCTGGGAAAGCACCTGCCATTGGATTGGGTCAGTCACTTGCAAGCAATTTGAGAACGCTCCACCACCACCAGTTTCGGAGCTGATGCGCACTCTCAGACCCCTTCCAAGGACTCAGCAGAAGACGAACCTTGGTTTGTTGGCTTCTCCAGGAGTTCTACAGGCAAGGGAGGTGGAGGCGCTCGAACCAGAACGGCAGGAGGATTTGGTTCAGTCTGCCCAGACCTCTAGCTCAGGCAGTGCTAGCCCAGAGCAAGGCCCTTACTACTTTGGTAGCACAGATAGCCAGTGTGCAATCAGACCCCATGGCAGAGCTAGCTGGTGGGGCCTCTTCAGCGAGTACCCGGGGAGCTTCAACCCGGGCCAGACTGCAGATGGAGTTGGCACAACACAGGGGAACGTTTTTCCAGAGTGTGATGCAGAGCATGAGCCGCAGAATGTCACCCACATCAAACCCGAATGCTTCAGCAGAAGAGCTTTTGCAGAGGGGCGTCTCAGGAGTCAGATACCTGGAGAGATTTGGGGGTTATGGCCGAGTGAGAGAGCTCGGCCAATTACAGTTTCAAGTGATCATGATTTTCGACTTTTTGATGGCAGAGAACGTGCAAGCAGCGATGGATGGTGTTGCGCTTCTGGCAGTGACGTTGGAGCAAGCCAGCCTAGACGGAGGTCGGATGGAGCTGGCCACACTGCTTTGCTTGCAGGAGGATGCACCAGCAAGCATCTTCGTCAACCGCCAACTGTCATCAACCTCGAGAGCCAAATCATTTGCACCTCTTGCAGACCAAAGATGGGTGACATGTGCTTCAGCATTTTTGAAAGAGATGGAGGTTATCAGTGCGAAGCGCAGCGAGATGAACAGCGGCCAGAGGACTTTTTCCGATGGTTCGTCAGATGCGGCAAGTGCGCAGCCCAGCGCAAAAGCAAAGGCAAAAGTTGCGCCAAAGAAGAAAGGAAAGGGAAAGGGGAATCAACCCGTTTCAGAGGAGAGCGAGGCCTAGCATATGACTGGCGTCGCGAGCATGCAACAGGGCAGAATTCATACAGCGAGCCCGGAGAACAAGAGGGGCAGGAGTCAAACCATCTTACTTCGAAGCTTGATTTTTGCACTTGGGCATTTTGCCTACCCAGATGGATCCTCCGGTGCAGAACGAAGTTTTCATGGCACTTGTGGATGTCTTTCACTGCAACCTGGCATGAGACTGCATCCATGTCAACCATTGCGTTTCCTTTGCCTGGCCCGCATCCAGGATGTTTTGCTGGCAAAGGCCTCAAGCTCAATGGCAAGCAGCGGCTGAAGATTGCGAGACAAAGAATGTTGCATGTTTTGGTCTTCACCTTGGACTTTTTGTACCTAGGACGTTGCCCAAGTTTGCATGAGCTTGAGAGGCGCCCAAATCCTTTGCAAAAGAGGATTTTCCAGCGTTTGGAGGCGCTCATAGCTGTGTGTGGAAATGGAACCGAGCAATTTGACATGGTTCCAGGCCGATCAGGGCCAGAATTAGGTGCAGCACTTTTTCAGTTGGAGAAGTTTTTCGAGCTTCACCCTGAGCTGAACCAAAGTTATGTTCAGCACAAACCAGTGAAATTCAAGGACGATCCTGGGCTCTTTCCTTCAGATGCCTTCCCAGAGTTGGCGCCTTACAAGTCCTTGGATGCAAAGAGGTTGAAGCTGGTTGGAACCGGGGCTTGGCCTATGGCAGACTTCCTCTCAGGGCCACTATGGCTCCCTTTTCAAGAGCCAAGATTCCTGCTCCATGGTCTTGATGATGATCACAGCGTTTGGCCTGCCTTGCATGCGGAGGATAGAGAGGAGAACCTTGAGCTTGCAAAGATTTGGGATGCACGTGGTTTGCTACGGCTACACAAGTTCCCCCTCCTCAAGGACCATTTCTCGCGGGTCTTCAACGCCTTCAAGAACAGCAGTGTTGACCGCCAAATAGGAGACAGACGCATCCCAAACTCAAGAGAGCGATCCATTGACGGGCCATCCCATCACCTACCTCCAGGTTTCATCCTTGTCAACATGCGTGTGGAGCCTTATGAGGAGCAGCTGTTTGGGTCTGTGACAGACAGAAGGGATTTTTACCATCAGGCCAAGGTTTCCTCCGAGCGCGCTCGCTCAAACATGCTGCCTTTTAGCTACAGTGCTGATGAGTTGGCAGGCACTAGGGCGTTGGCGGAGGTCCCTTTTGACAATCCCCGCAGAAAGCCTCGAGCAGTTGTTGGTGATGGTTTTGGCGAAGAAGATTGCAGTGGTCGCCTCCATGAGGATGCTGGCAAGTGGTTCCCCTGTTTTGGCTCTCTTTTCAGGGTGGCCACCTTGGGGTTGAATTTGCGTTGAAAGCTCATGAGGAGGTTTTGCAACGAGGTGGACTTCTGAGGCCAGAGATGCGGCTGCATGGCCATGCAATTTTTCCCAGAGGAAAGAGGTTTGAAGGCCTTATTATTGATGATTGCTTTGCAATTGGCGCCGAGCCTGTCTCCACCTTGCCCATCAACTCCTTTGCATCTCAAGCACTTGCAAAGGCTCGTCGGGTCTATGATGCTGTTGGATTGCTGGGCTCTACAGAGAAAGACATTGAGGCAGAGAATCTTTTCAAGGCAGCAGGGGCAGAGATTGTGTCCACCAATGAGGCAGTGAATTTGGGCCTCACTACTGTTGGCGCTCCACTTGCCAAGAGGATTGCACTGGCCATGCTGTCCCTACGTGCTGCAAAGCTTAAGTTCACCTCTTCAAAGTTGCTGGCTCGGCTTGCTGGTAGCTGGAACTCAGTTTTGCTTTACAGAAGATGTTTGACCTCGTCTGGGCGCTGAAGCGGCAAAACTGTGCGGTTTCTCTTCCTCGCGCTGTGGCCCAAGAGCTCTGCGTTTTGGCTGCACTTGCACCTGTGGCGGTATCAAACATTGCGGTGAAGTACAACAAGAGGGTTTATGCGTTTGATGCCTCTCTGGGCTATGGGGCAGTTGTCACCACGGAATCTGAGGAGGATTTGGTTGAAGACTTGTGGCTTGGCTCTGACAAGCGGGGCTGTTACACTCGCCTTGATAGCCCTGCCATGGCTATGCTGGCTGCTGCTGGCGAGGAGACGCATGATTTGCCGACCATCCCTGGACAGGAAGAGCCAAAGAAGGGGCCGTTGCTTTACTATGACTTTGTTGAGTTCTTTGGAGGGTCTGGGCGTGTTTCGGAGTGTATGGCCCAGCTTGGTCACTCTGTTGCCCCTTGCCTGGACCTGTCAGGCTCTCAGCATTATGACCTGACGGATTGCAGACTCCTGGAGTGGTGCCTGCATTTGATTGAGCAGGGACGTTTTGCAGCTTTTCTTTCAGAGCCTCCATGCACTTCATTTAGCCCTGCAGCTCATCCAGCAGTCAGGTCATACAAAGTGCCTGAAGGTTTTGACTTGCGCTGCCCCAAAACTTTCCTTGGAAACCAGCTGGCAAACAGATCTTTTGTGCTGCTTCGTCATGGCCGCCGTTCAACAGGCCTTGTGGGAAAGAACAGCCACGGAGGAGTAAGATGGCATGGACAAGAGCCTGGGCAGCGCTCAGGCGTCTGGGCTTCTCAGAGGCCATTATTGCCTCCTGTCAGTTTGCATCAATTCACAAGAAGGAGTTTGTTCTCCTGCTCTCTGGCCTTGATGCTCAGAGGCTGCAAGTCAAGTGCCCAGGAGGCCACCGACATGTGAAGATTGAGGGGCAGCTTACCAAGGGCACGGCCGTTTACACTTGGCCACTTGCAATGCACCTTGCAGAGGAGTTTAGCAGGGCTTTGAGGAGGCAAAGGATTTCTGAGGCCGACGCACCACAGGTCGACGGCCATGAGAGTGTTGTTGTCAATGATTTGCTGCTGACCTCCTCTTGGAAAGTTAGAAAAGTTTGGGGCTGGAAGAGAAAGAGCCACATCAACGTCCTTGAAGCACATGGAGGTTCAGGAGTTTTGGGCCTGCTCGATTCACGTGTTGCAAAGGGGGCCCTTGCAAAGGGGCGCAGCTCCTCAAATGGACTTTAAGGAGCCTGCAAACGTAGCACAGCCTTACAGATAGCATGTGGACTTTACCCTGGCTGGTGCTTTGCCCCTACCAGACTGAATGTCGCTGATGATCCTACCCGCCTGACTGCTGTCAGACCTCCTGTCCAGTCCTCTTTTCGAAAGATGCTCACCCATGATCAGACCAGAGCTCTGCACTCTTGCCACCTTGCACGTTGGTCTTCCAACTGGCTTCGACTTTCCCTGCTTTTGCTTTCCATGCCCAGCAGCAGCCAAGCAGCTTCTGAGAGATCCAGCCAGGTTCCACAGTGTGCTAGTTTTGGATTTTGGACTTTCATTTGCGGTCTTGGACTTGACCGACAGCACACCGTTTTTGGATTTTGGAATTTCCCAGGGGGCACCCTAACCATAGTAACTTGGAGTTTTTGGTTTGTGCTTGCACTGCTTGTCTGGATCCTTGTCGTGTGCTGGGTCGTCGTGTCCTGTACAAAGGTAGCAAAAGCCCCCGGTAGGCTGTTGTGGATTTCGTTTTATGGATTTTGCTTAGCTGAAGCCATGGCGCCACAATCAACTGCTGAAGGATTCGAGCGGAAAGACGCGGTGGCATTGAGCTGCTAGCCACCAGAGTTGTGCGAAAAGAAACACTGGAGCGCAGGTCAGTCCTGCTTTCTGACTTCCGATGCTGTTTGCATGATTCACATGGCGTTTTGCTTTCTCAGCTCTTGACCGCGAAACCACCTGACCCTGAGGAAATCTGCAGGTGGCTCACGCTGTATGGCCAGGAGCTTTTCTTTGCAGGCAAAACATACGCCAAATTCGCAGAGACGATCAATGCAGTAGCAGCAGCGCACCAGTGATCCGTAAACAACTGGTCGGTGCATGGGACCTGGCATTTGCCTGGCAAGCAGATGAACCGGGTGAACATCACCCGGCATTGCCCTTATCCATTCTTTTAGCAATGCTGGTTTGGCTTTACTGTGGGGATGGCCACTTGAGGCCTCAATCATTGGCATGTCATGGTGTGGCATTCTTCGAGTTGGCGAAGCCCTTCTTTCGGAGCGCTGCGATTTGATTTTACCAATTGATGCTGCACCAGGTGTTTTATTCGGTTTGCTGAGGATCCGATCCTCAAAGACATGTGGCCGCTATGCGCGGCATCAAGCGGCGAGGATTGACCCGCCGGACATCCTGCGACTGCTTACCTCTACGTTTGGGCATCTCCCTGCACACTCGAAATTGTGGCCATACTCTGCAGCTACACTGCGAAAGCGCTTTACCAGTCTTTTGGCAGGCCTTGACTTACCAACATCAAAAGTTGGAAACAAGCGGGCTTTCGACCTTGGATCATTGCGACCGGGGGGGCAACCTTCCTATTGCTGGAATCTGAAAATGTCGAAATGGTTAGACGCCGCGGTAGGTGGGCCACAACAAAAGTGATGGAAGCTTATTTGCAGGAGATCCTTTACATCACGTTTGCAGAAGGTTTGGATAGAAAGGTACGTACGAAGATCCTGCAGCTAGCTGAAATTTTTCCAGCCATCTTGGAAAGGCCATTTCTTTTCTGGATGCTGCAGTTACCCCAGCCACCTGGTGGCGACTCTTCCAAGCCAGCAACGAGAAGGAGCATGGAGAGGATAGTGGGAAATGATGGTGGAAGTTTGCTAGCTTTTGGGACAAATCATGTCCTGCTAGCGATGGAAAGCCTCACGTTGCAGTGAAAACAATGCCGGGCATCTTGCTTGACCACAAGCATGAAACCAGAATTGCACTCTCAAGCTCCCCCATCCCTGTGGGAAAATCCCGCCCTTTTCATCGTTCTGGCTTGGGGTGGAAGTTTGCTAGCTTTTGGGACAAATCATGTCCTGCTAGCGATGGAAAGCCTCACGTTGCAGTGAAAACAATGCCGGGCATCTTGCTTATATATTGGTAAATATCTTAGATATCTTAGATGGGGTCATAAGTCATAAATGACTTATTATGGATCATATATATATATATATCTATCTACAGTTACATATCTAAGATGTGGTCATAAATAGCAACTTATCCGTAAAGTTTGTCTAATGTTCCATCCTGCGTGGGATCAATGATCTTGACGAACATACATTGGTCAAGAGAAAGCCTACAGGAATTCATCCATAAGTTCCCCCCAAAGAAATATGGAGTGATTTCCTATGAGCTATGAACAATCACAGAGGTTTTGCATGCAAATATGCCATGCCATCATAGGGATGGTATACTGGGTTGCGATGCCCCAAAAAGACATATCTTCCTATGTTTTTTATGTGACCCTGTAGATCGGGCTCAAGCTATGCTAAACCCATGCTACACATATCAGTCACTTGCCTGCGGTCGGGTGGGCCCGACTTTTGGTTAACCATTTCATGATGGTGTTTGCAGATCCCCTCTGCTAGGAACAAACTTTGGTGAACCATCGCAAACTCGACCCTTTCCCAAAACGACGCGGATTAGGACTGAAACACAGCCTGAATTCGCGGATTCTTTGCTTGGACAATGACCAGTTCGAACGCCTCTTGGATGTGATGTCTTTCTTTCTGTCGCACACGCTCTTTGCGACCAATCAAATGGCAACTTGGTGTTTTGCAGCGAGTGCGCCAACGGAAATGGCGGAGGTCACAATGCGCTATAAAATGGTATAAATGGGTATGTCATCAATACAGAAGGGTTGGTGGTTTTGAGCATGTGTTCTGTTCAACGGTGGGATGATACCCAATGAAGAACATGGTTGAAGTCAAAATCATCAACCCAGGATTGTATTGATTTGCATTGCACTTTTCACCACATCAAAACATGTCAAATTGCGCCGTATGTATTGGCAATATCATAATGACATCATGGCACGATTGGTCACAGCAGCGTTTGTATCACAATGTTCACACGCCACATACATGAATCATGTGATATATTACTGCACCATGGTCACACAATGGTGGTTTATCACGCCTTGGCATGGGAACCGTTCTTGGAAACCCAGTCGATTCCCCTTTTCATTAACTGGAGCTGCGTGTGATACAAGAAAAAGTGGATTTATCCATCAAAGTGATCAGAAAAAATATGAAGGATGGGTTGAGCCCAGATAGGTTATCAGATCGGTTTAAACATGTTAACCCATTTTATGGAGGTTTCTTGAAATGGTGGTACCCCCAAATCATCCATTTTAACATGATTTTCTATCATAAACTATAAACCAACCATTTTGGGGTTATCAGATAGGTTAACCATGGTTAAGCCATGTTAACCCATCATATCTATTTGGACGACAATGTTCCAAGCTTTCCAAGCCATGCCAAGCAAATCCCAAGGGGAATCTGATGAATTTCTGCAGGGGGGCTCTTCCGCTCCACATTGTATTAATATCATGCACATATGATGTGTATTCATTTGTATTATAGTATATACCGTATATTATATGTTAGCATGTTGCTCTAACACGTTTTTGGAGGGGTTCTTTAGGGTATACTTGAGGGGTATATGGGGGTCATATCTAGCTATGTTTTTTGCAACATTTAACTCTTAGTTTTGCCTAAATTTAACTCTTAGTTTTGCCTAAATTTAACCATTATTTTTTGCCTAAATTTAACTTCTATTTTTGCCTAAATTCAACTCTTATTTTTGCCTAAATTTAACTCTTATTTTTGCCTAAATTTAACCATTATTTTTTGCCTAAATTTAACTTCTATTTTTGCCAAATTTAACTCTTATTTTTGCCAAATTTAACTCTTATTTTTGCCAAATTTAACTCTTATTTTTGCCTAAATTTAACTCTTATTTTTGCCTAAATTTAACTCTTATTTTTGCCTAAATTTAACCATTATTTTTTGCCTAAATTTAACTTCTATTTTTGCCTAAATTCAACTCTTATTTTTGCCTAAATTTAACTCTTATTTTTGCCTAAATTTAACCATTATTTTTTGCCTAAATTTAACTCTTATTTTTGCTACATTCGACTTTTAATACTGCTAAATATTCTTGCTACAGTCAAATCTTATTTTTGCTACTATAATTTATAGCTGTTTTTTTTGGGTAAAATTGTCTCTTATGTTTGCTACGGCTATGCTGGCCATACTTAGATTTTTTATTTGGTTTCTATAATTGCGATATGATATGTAGCTCTTGTGTTTTTTGCTATATGTAATTTGTTTCTTGCCAGGTTTCATTTTTGTTTTTTGATTTGTTTGCCATATTGACATATTTCATTTTTTTGGTATTTGGCGCACTTATAATTTGCAATACTTCACGAAGTTCTATCCATTGATTGCAACATGTCATTCTTGTTTTTTTCAGTTTGTCACTCTTCTATTTTCCCATATTTCAAAATTCATTATTACATTTTCTATTGCTTGCCATTCGTCACTATTATTTTTGCTACGCTTTGCTCTTATGTTTGGGGTCTTAGTTTACTTTTAGTTTTGCGGTTTTGAAATTTTGCCGGTTTTGAAATATGTTTGGGTACGTCACTCTTGCTTCTCGTGCCATAGTTTGCTCTCATTTCTGCACATTTTTTTTTTATGTTTGTGGTTTTTGTCTACTCTTGTCAAGGCTATATCTTACTCTTATTATGTTTGCCATATATTTCGCTATTGTTTTTGCGTCTATATGCGCCACTCTTATTGTTTGCCGGACATATATCACATATCATATTATCATAGAATCATATATTAACATATATAATATAATTATATAATTTATTATATATATTAAATATTATATATATTATTTATATGTCATTCTTAGTTTTGTTTTGTTTCACCTCTATTCTTTGTTATGTTCAAGTCTCATGTTTGCCGCGCCGCACGTGATTGTTGTTTTTGTTTTATGTGACCAATTTGCTTGCTGCCGCTTTATGTACTATAATATTGTTTAATCGGTTTGATATCCCGTGGGCCAGAACACAGCAGGAATTGGTTGAGTTTGTTTCCAGCCACCACTTTCAGTGGTTTGTGGCCATCGGCTTCAAGTTCGAGCAACGCTTGAACTGCATGGGGAAATGATGTGCACAGAAGTCCGAAATGATGATATGATACGACTTTCTATTCTGATATTGGCATGTCCAAATTCATCATGTAATTACTCTGGATTTGTGTGATATGCCATGCGCCATGGCCATGTTTTTGCAAAGGACGATCTTGGCATCTTCGTGTGAAATGCAACCACAAAACATATTTCAAACAAGATAAACAAGTGGGGGTTGGTTGAGATGTTTTCTGTGTTTGCATGTTCACATATCATATTATATGATGATATGATTATATAATTTATATAGACTATAGACTGTAGACTATAGACTATAGACTAGATATATGATTATGATATATGATTTATGTTAAGTTATATATATATATATATTATATTATATATTGTATTATATATGATATAAGTGTAAATGATATGATATATGATGATATTGGAATATTAACACCTACCTTGCAACTCAGACTTGTACTAATTAGCATTCAGTGCCATGGATGGAGATGAATTCGATTTCCTTTCGTTGCTGGAAACGGAAGTTAGTGATCCCTTGCAAGCAGAGCCGGGACCCGCTTTAGATGTAGTAGCAGTAGCCGAGAGCTTTCAAGCAGCTTCAGAACCAGCAGCCATTCCTGTTGTTGAACCAGCGCAGGGTCCGAAAACATTTGCTTTGGCCTTGCCAAGCATGAAGGGCAAGGTTGGAGCGGGCCGGCATGGAGAAGGATTGGAACCAAAGCTTTTGACGATGCATATGCGCCACGTCAAAACGCTTCGTCGTGCACATGGTTTTCAACAAGATGTCAGTGACCTGTTGGAAGATTCATGTTTTGTCAGAGACGGCAAGCTTGTTGCTGTGCGTGCCAAGCCGACTACCACTGGTTTGTGCTTGAAATTGGAAAGCCGTGCCAGAAAAGGCAACCGGTACACCCGGGTGGTCCCTTGGTCGACGTTTTTTCAAGCTTCATATGGAAAAATGATCCATAGCTCCCACTTGGCTATATCACTGGGTGTTTCGCGCAGTATGGTGAACTTTATGACGAACCTTGTTGGATGCGTGTATATGGGGCAGCAGATGGTTTTGTTGACCAAACTGATTCATCTCTCTGCGCAGAACCCACCAAAGGTATTAATACACCAACTAAAGTGGGATGAAACTCAGCTCCTTTGCACAGTGGACGCGGACAAATCTGGCAAGAGGGTCCGGTCATCGTGGGAAGTCTTGGTCTCGCGCCAACGAGTGGTGCTCGTGCTTGAAAACGGCGCTTCTTTGGTTTTCAGATTAGTTTTGCCGCCCATTGTGTTGCTCAGCAGTGCTGCGCATGACATCTATTACGGGATTTTCCATCATCCAACATATTGTGCCACCATGCGGTTGCTGAACATCTTGATGGGGCATTGTCATGAAAGGATTCAAATTCTGGAATCAGATGCTGCATCTGCGAATCTTCGGTTGTTTGCACATCTTGTGGACAAGAATCAGCATGGCAACTTGGGACCTAAGTTTCGTATGATGCACGTGCTTTGCCAGAACCATCAGTCCCAGCTTTGCAACGTCAGCATGCTGGCGCACATCGGTTCTAATCTGCTGAACAGACTATATGGAATGACTACATTTTTGCGAAACCTTGGGTACTTCATGAGATTGCGGCAGGCAGTCTATGATTGGTTGTCCGAGCATCTCAAGTTTGATCAGCATGTCATGGGAATTCCTCTAGCTGATCATGTGCAGCCAAACCCGTTGTTTGTTCAGCTGGTTGACTATCTACGTCAGGGACGTAAAATGCATTCAGAGGATGATCCCACTTTGGAGTCTGAATCATCAACATCATCCTTCGAGAAACGAGCAGCATTCTTTTTGGAAATGTTTAATTCTACTGATTCATGTGGCCGCCCTGCCCACATTTGCAGTCATTCAGCTTTGCCAGAGTCTCATCGCCACTGCAGTGATAAGAAACAGGCAATACAGAAATGTGCGGAAGCACTAATTGGTTTATTCTTGGCTGCAATGCCGTCGATTCCAACGCCAAATAAGTGGACGACATTGTTCACACCAATGGCCTTTGCACTGAGCGGGCTGCTGGTACACGAGTGGCTGCCACATCTGTTCTATTCTGCCTTTAAAGATATGAAATTCAGCGAATTCAACAAGGTTGAAGAAGCCGCTGATCATGATCCCCGTTTAGTCGAAACCCTATCCTTTCATGCAGTGACTTGTCCAAGCATTTTGAGGAGAAACTGTTTGAGTGTAGCTGGACATAGCCACATGGAGTGGTATAGCCGGGGCAAGGATCGGATAGGGCTTAAGATATTGACATTGATATTCAGTCTTCATTTCATTCCATTAGTGTGTGAAAGCATTCTCTGTGTAAAGGCTTCTCTTTGCAAAAGCATTCTCTGTGTAAAAGTTCCTCTGTTTAAAGACTTGTCTGTGTAAATGCTTCTGTGTAAAGACTTCTGTGTGCAAAAGTTTCTCTGTGCACCAGTAGTACCGCACAAGGCGGTGGCGGAAGTTTCAAAAATAGGAAACCCATGGAAGAGGTTGGTTATTGTGAATCGCGAATGGCAGAGCGAAGCCACTGATGGACCGAAAGGTGGTTGGATTTGTGTTTTTTGGAGTGGCTGCAATGGTTGCAGTGGTCACCTCCCCCAGAACTGCTGGATGTAGTGTGGTGTAGTGCAGCTGTAGTTGTAGTTGTAGTGTAGTGGAGCTGTAGTTGTAGTTGTAGTTGTAGTTGTAGTGTAATTAGTGTTGTGTAGTTTCAGTTGTAGTTGTGGCATGGTGTAATGAGCGCAGTGTAGTGTAATGTAATGTAGTGTGGTGTAGTGTGCTGTATTGTTGTGTAGTTGTGTGCTTTAGTGTAGTCTGTAGTCTATAGACTAGACTAAGACTAAAGGCTATTTGACCTATGGACCTATGGATTATGGACTATGGAATATGGATGGATAGCAAATAAACCTATCTAAACTTTTGATTGGTCATCACTGTCATCACTGTGTTCACTCATCATCACCAGACTACCAACAATTTAACATTAAATTAAATTATATTATGTTAATATGTTACATTATCAGATTATATGAATGATACTATACTATACAAATATCAAAATCTTACAGGTCAATAAAGATAAGATTTAGACAATATATGCAAGTTGAATAGGATATTTGTTAAATCATATAACATCAAAAACAATAGACAATAAACAAACGCTCGTATTAGTATTTATTCAAGCCCAGCAAGCAGGCCAAAGAGGTTTAATCTCATCTTCACCACAGACACTGGCATGAGCGGCAGTACCGGGCCGACACTTTTTCTCCGACGCGCTCCCCCTGCTCCTTGCTGGGTTGGGGGATAATTAAGCATCATATATTATTAGTATTATATCTAGTCTATATCAACTATGACTCTGACTAAAACCCAAAGCCTTTAGCCTATTAGCCAATAGCCAATAGCCAATTGCCAATAGCCTATAGTATAGCCTATAGGCCTATAGCCATAGCCTAGCCCCATCCTAAAGCCTACTAAATTATTATAGTCTATAGTCTATAGTATGTTATAGTCGTCTTTAATTCTTTAGTTGTCATAGTCTGCATATCAGCTTTTGATCTGAGGTGAATGGAAAGCGCTACCAATCGTCAGTCAGCTTCCTTCACTGCCCAGAATCCAGATGGGCTCTCAAAATGATGGCAGTTTGCCTCGAGGGAACAAAGGTTTTGACACACTACTGGCTGAGTTGTCTCAACCAAAGTCTCAGACCAGCTTCGCGACCACCGTTGTACAAAGTTTTAGATCCGAGGACAAGCGTGCTGACGCAGGCTCTGCAATATTTTGCATCCATGCTTTTCAATGACGTTGGTGACGGGAGGCTTCTTTCTTTTCTTATGGGCCGGCAGTGGCTTTGTGACTTTCAGAGATTTTTGCATGTCCATGCCACATCGTGTCAGAGAAGTGCGAAGAACATTCATGTTAGCAGCTGCTTGGATTTTCCGAAGGCATTTTGCATACTTGCATCGACTCCAGTATAGTGTCGCTTTGGTTGGCGACGCTGACGCGCATCCTGAAACTGTTGACAAGGTTTTGACAGAGTGGGATAAGAAACATGTTTGCTGCATGCCACCAGGATTGGCAAGAGAACTGAAGAAAGAGGGGATTCGTTCTGTTGATCTGTTGTCGCCTGAGTGGAAACAGACAATGTTTTGGACAGCAGCCACGATGCAATTGTCATGTGCAGACATTGAGTCCATGCACAGCCAGAATCGAGCACTGGCTGGATCGGCTTTTCATTCGATCTCGGCTCGTTTCATAAACTCAGAGTCGAACAGGTTTGCCAAAGAGGCCATTGATGTGCAAAAGGCTGCTTTGAAAAAGGACAAGCCCACTGCTAATGCGGAGAATTTGCCACTGGGGAATCCCCAGAAAGAGCGCATTGGCAGAATTGTTGTTGTTGATGGTGCAGGGAAAAAACCAAGCCCAAAAGCTATGTCACCTTTGGAGCTTTACAGGCAGCATCATCTGAAAACGTTTAGTTCAACTGGCTCACTGAACCCGTGCAGCAAAGAGTGCTGGGCTGATGTCAAAGCTCACTGGGAAAATTTGAGTCCACAGGAGAAGCAATTGTACAAAGAGTTGTCAGATCAGTCGGCTTTAGATGCCAGTGCTGAAAGAAAGCGCCGATCACGAGCCAATGTTCTCAGTGAGAAGAATGTTGCGGTGGAACCTTCCGATGTTGTGCCAATGGTTTCTGCAGGAAATATGTCAGCAATTCACACCCAAGCTCTGCCCATATCAGATCTGTGCGAGCTTGTTTCCCAGCCGGATTTGTTGCAGAAAGCTGTGCATAAGCAAATTGCACACACCAGTTCCATTCCAAAGGCAGAGTATCCACTTCGCGAGGAGGCATTGGAACGTGCTTGGCTGACACAAAGATCAAAAGGAATCACTGGAAAAGAGTCCATCAAGTCTTTCCGGGTTGAGGCAGAGCGCATAGCTAGGCCAAGTGATGGCGATGTTTTTCCTGAGAAAGTGCGCCATGAAAGTTTTTGCGGTGACCAGTGCCGTCATTTTGCAGATCGAAGTCGTATTGATTTGCACTCCCGTTTGATGACGCAATTTCAAGAGATAGTTGCCTTCAAGGGGGGTGTCAAGAACGTGGTGCTGTCAGATGTGCTTTGTTCCCTGGCTGTTTCATGAGTTGGACGATAGTAAATGGTAGATTCACAGATTGATTTTTGATTGGACCCTGTTGATTTTCCTATCTTTTCATCTGTCACTTTTAGTAGGGGGGGCAGGGCGCCCAAAAAAAAATGCAGAAAGATTCAAGGCAATTTTATTTATAGTCATAGTAATTTATAAAATAATTATTATATGTTTATATTTATATCTTTATTATATTCCATTATTATTTTATATATTATATTATTATTATATAATTATATATTTTATCAACCTCACGACTCGTAACTGATATATATAAATCTATGACTCTGACTATGACTCCTTTAATTTGCCTATTAGCCTATGCCTATATTCTATATTATATAGCCTATAGCCTATAGCCTATAGCCTATAGCCTACCTATAAGTATGACTCTGACTATAACTATGATTCTAGACTATACTATGACTATGACTATGGACTATCTATAATAACTATAGACTAGACTATGACTATGACTATGACTCTGACTATTATTAACTATGTCTATAACTATGACTACGACTATGACTAGACATAACACATATCACATATCACATAACTTATTAACTCATTATGCTTCTCATCATCACATATTTTTATGGTTTCAATCACAGACTCATAGCGTCCTATTGGTGTTTACAACTGTGATTATGAACGTGCCCTCATCCATCACCTCGTTTCCTTTTAAACCTGAACTCAGGTGGATGCGTTGTTGGTGATTCTCTTGGTGGAACATCTGTTCAGATCGCCTTTTTGACTGCCGCTTCAGCACAAGCCGGAAGTCACAAGCCGGATCAGGTATTTGTGGCTTGTGATATTTTGGGGAGACAAGGAGCGCTGGCAGGTGACCCTTTCAAAGGGCTTTTGTTGGAACTGTCGACAGAAGACTTTTTCGAGCCATCGGGCGCCGTTTACTTTCCAAACATGCAAGCCCAGTCTGGAAGACTCCGCATGTACACTGCAGATCAGTTTGCTCACCATTTGCTGGATTTGGGTGAGTCAGAATCTGTTGGGAATGAAAATAGCAGAGCTGTCAGTGTGGTCATCAAACTTTTAACATTTGAGGAAGACCTTTTTCCAAAGAACTTGTTGGTGACAGGGATGGAAGACACTGATTTTTCGACTGCAGAACCTACCGACATTGCAGAATTGAACCCAGAAAGCAAGGAGCCAGGGCCAGGGGATGATATTGTGCATCCTCTGAATGACTCAGATGTTGGCGAGATTGATTTCACTGAGCTTTTGATGTCATATGGAAACACAGAGTTTTCCAGTGGAAAGCCTGCCTCCTGTTCTGATCATCCACCTAGGAAGAAAGCAAGAACAAAACCAGCGCCAGAAGTAGATAGCAGCGGTGTTGGTGACGCTCTAGAAGAGGTCAAGCCACCACCAGAAAGTTCGTTGCTGGATGACCCTGCATTGGCTGCATTCGTGGATGCTAGGGACATTGCTGACCTCCAGAACGCAGTCAATCTTTGCAAAGAGGTTGACAAATCATCTGATTTGAATGAGTGGAGGTCGGGTTTTGAAACAAATTTTTCAGATGCCGAATCAGATGGTATTGCCGAAGTTTTTGACGAGCCAGCTGAATCCGTTGAAGTTACTGCTAGTTCATCAACGGCTTCATCATCCAGCAAGCCTTCTTCGCACAATCAGGTCCTTCTGGTTTTGGGGGTCTGGCTCTGTGAACCATTAAGTGTGATGTGTTGTGGTGGCTGTGATCGTTTGGTGGTCTCATTGGTTTAAATTTCTAGCTCAATCCTTCTCAGCGAGCATCGGGGAGATAACATTTTAATGTGGAGCCCATTAGCATTTGCATCAGGACCAGGACAGTTTGATGTAATGTATGTGAAAACAATTAAAACATGTGAAACTCAAAGATGGATCCTATCAAAGACATAGTAGTATAAGTTATAGTTAAGTTATAGTTGAAGTTATAGTTATAGTTAAAGTTATAGGCTAGAGGCTATAGGCTATAGGCAATACGGCAATACGGTATAACTTATAACTTTTAAGTTATAGAGACTATTATAGACATAGAGTTTATAGACTATTAGACTATAGACTAGTTTTAGTCTTGACACGTTTTAGTTTTTTTCTTGTGAAATGTGTGGTTCCCAAAAATGATCATTGGCGCTGCAGGTGGAACCACCAGACACACTGACTCCTTCTGCTTTGGACGTAGTGTCTTCAGAGACTGCTGCTGCACCGGCATCGGGTTCCAATCAGCCAATGAAATCTGTTCTTGAGGTTTTGCAAGATGGGAGCCGCGTTGAAGTCTGGAAGTTTCCAAGTGGTAGCATTGCGGCGAAGGTATTGAAGTTCGGTGTTTTTGGATCAGAAAGACTTCTAGGTGAAGGTAGAGTGATGGAGGATGGAAAAACGGGATTCAAAACGTTACAAGGAAGATGTAAAACACATTCCAGCAAGTGCTTATGTTGGTTTAGTAGCACAAGGCATCTTGATTTGCTTTCCAATTGGATAGCCAATGGTGCCCAGGGTGATGAACAGAATCACCAAACCATGGCACGCGAATTGAAACGCAGCATTGGCATGAAAGTCAGGGGTTGAAGAAAAGCGATGCTGAACTGTAGCAATGTGATTTGGAAACCATGACCGACTGCACAGTACTGTACTGAACCTAACAACTTACAACTTTATATAACTTCACAAACCATGATTATGATTCTGATGACTATAGACTAGACTAGACTATACCTATACCATATAAACCGTTATAGACAGACTAACAGAGTATAGACTAATAGACTATAGACTATAGAGACCCTATAGACTATAGACTATAGACTATAGACTTTACTATAGACTATATGAGACTATTATATGACTATATGGCTAGACTATAAGATAGATATTGATATTGATATTGATATTGACATAGAGACTATAGACAGTCATAGTACTATAAGACTATAGTACTATAGACTATAGACTATAGACTATAGACTATATAGACTAATAGACACTAGGCTAGAGACTATAGTCTCTATGACTAGACTATACAGTACAGTACAGTTACAGTATATAGACTAGACTATAGACTCTATAGACTCTATAGACTCTATAGACTCTATAGACTCTATAGACTCTATAGACTCTATAGACTCTATAGACTCTATAGACTCTATAGACTCTATAGACTAGACTATGACTATGTGACTATGACTATGTGACTATGACTATGTGACTATGACTCTGACTAACTACTATGACTCTTACTTAAGGCGTCGAGAGTTGTATGAGGGATCCTTTGTTTTCTGGTGTAACTTCATTTTTCAAAACAGTAAGAAAAACAATCTTCATGTTCAACACTGTGTAGAAAAATGGCAACTGATCTTTTTCCAAATGGTTTTAACAAAATTGTGTAGTCTAATGGTTTGTGGTCACTGTTTTTGTTTTCTGGACTCATAACTATGCTAGACTCGATGGTAACAAACGCACGTAAAAACATTTGTAGCATCTAACCAGTGAGCGCGTGATTTCGCTATTCAAACAAAGAATGAACAATAAACAACTTAAAATTACTATTCGCCAAAGATTAGAAACACAATCCAGATTCCCAAAAAAAAGTAACCACATGAAAAACAAAAGAACAAACAAAGTCTAAAAGTTGAAGTGAAAAAAAGTCAAATACGTTTTGAGAATAATTCATTTAAGTTTACAAGAACTGTTTTGATGAAAATCTGAAAACAAAGATCTCTTAGCTAAGAGTTACAGTAATTTGGGAAATGTTCATGTCAAGTCAAAGGTCATTATTTTTAATTCCTAGCTGATGGTTCAAAGTTTTTTTTAACCCCGGGCAAGAGTTAAAAGTTAAAATTTCCAGGGTTAACACATTTAATTTTTAACCCCGGGCAAGAGTTAAAAATTAAATTTCCCAGGGTTAAAAAATTTAATTTTTAACTCTGGGCAAGAGTTAAAAATTAAATTTTCCAGGGTTAAAAAATTTAATTTTTAACACCGGGCAAGAGTTAAAAATTAAATTTTCCAGGGTTAAAAAATTTAATTTTTAACCCCGGGCAAGAGTTAAAAATTAAATTTTCCCAGAGTAAAATTTCCGGTTAAATCACCTATTTTGTTGCAAAACACGCTAAAAAACTAGAGTTAAATTTGGTTTTTGCAACAAAATAGGCTACCTGGAAAATTTAACTTTCGCTTTTTGCAACAAAATAGGTGATTTAACCGGAAATTTAACTTTGGGAAAATTTAATTTTTAACTCTTGCCCGGGGTTAAAAATTAAATTTTTTAACCCTGGAAAATTTAATTTTTAACTCTTGCCCGGCGTTAAAAATTAAATTTTTTAACCCTGGAAAATTTAATTTTTAACTCTTGCCCGGGGTTAAAAATTAAATTTTTTAACCCTGGAAAATTTAATTTTTAACTCTTGCCCGGGGTTAAAAATTATTTTTTTTAACCCTGGAAATTTTAACTTTTAACTCTTGCCAGGGGTTAAAAATTAACATGTTTTTTTCAATATTAACGCTTCACTGAACACCTTTTTGCAGATGTTATTCAAAAACAATACTTTAAAATATAAAATTGTTCTTTTAAAATTTGTTCAACTTTTGGACTTTATGTTGTGTAGCAATATTTCTTTTAATTGTTTTCTTGAGGTTAACTTCTATTTTATGATCTTCTGGAAAATGTGTCCATCATTTCTGCTATCTCAGAACTCAGATTCATTCCCTTTCAATCTATTTTGTTCCGGCTTTGTTGTTGCCATTTGAAATCTATATTTCATGATCTTGGAGTTGTTGTTTGCTTTTGGATTTCACATAAAGTTCATTGATGTTATCAACGCTACGTGTTCGAGCTTATTGATCTGAGAATTGAATACATCATTATCTCAATAATCTCAATTGGATCATCGAACATATCATATTAAAACACGTTAGCAAATACTAGTGTAATGTATCATAAAACTATTTGACTCTTAACTTTTGGTTTGTTTCATTGTTTCAATGCCTGTGTGACGTTTACATGTAGGATGTAGGAGTAAGTTGTAAATATGTGTGTTTGCAATCATTCAATGATGACCCTCGCCAATCATAATCATATTGGATTGAATTACATATTAGGTGGAAATGATGTTAGTTAGTATTGAGTGAGGTTGGATACATGAACACAGCAGCAGGATCATGGTTTCCAAATCACCTATCAGCCAGCCGAGCATTTGGCACGTCGCACGGTATTTTGAGTGAGGGATTTTTGAGGTTTGTGATCATTCTGATCGTGTGATCAATCAATTGAGGACTTGGTTTGTCTCACCTCAGCTTCTCATTCCCGTTTGGTTGTTCGGCTGATCATGTGCAGTGGACTTTTACCAATAGCATCCAACAGCATTTTGGGTTTGAAAACAGGGTTAGTTAGCAGATTCTTGACTTTGGTGGAGGCAATGGCTCCTTCCTCTCCTCAGACCCCAATGAAAGCCATGAAGAGTTGGTCGGACTCGGAGACTTTGGTTTTGGGGCAATCGCCTCGTTCTCCGCGATCCCCTCGCCCGGAGCTTCGTCGTTCAAAGGCTTCGTCAGATTTGGGGGTGAATGCATCACCGAAGACTCCGGTCATGAAGTCTGTGAAAGGCAGTCCGGAATCAGGACGTGCCGTTGCTAGCCCCAGCAAGTCTGCCAAGACCAGTCCTCAATCCAGCAAAAAATCAGTCGGAATGGCATCGCCCAAGCCCAAGTCCAAGGCTGTTCAGAAAGGTCAGAGTAAGGGGTCTCTGACCAAAGGCAAAGCCATGGTAGGCAAGCGTGCGATGCGCAAGCCAGCTGCGAAAGCAGCCGGCAGAGTGACTCTCCGTGACATGCAGCGAGAGAAAGCTTCGAAGTGGCATGATCTTATGTGCGAGATCCAGCAGGAATACGACGATATGGTCTGCTACAACAAGTCGTTCAACGTTCCCCCACCTTGTACCTGGCGCCAGCTTTTTGGCATAACACCATTTGGGTTTAGTGAAGTGAAATGATATGATAATGATGAGACGATATGATGAGTGATAATGATGTGGGCCATAAGATAATCTGTCTATATACCTGTATATTGTATATGTATGTATTCTGAGTTAGTCTTAGTATAGTCATATTATAGACTGATGATATGCTGATGATGAATGATATGAATGAATGATGAAATGATGACTGAAATGACATGATATCAGATGATATGATTTGATGATGTCTTTCTGGATATTTACTAACTTATTGGTATTATTCTTCTATAATTAATATAATGTATTTTTGATTTATCTTATCATAGTTGTAAAAGTTATGTAATATGGATGATGTGATGTGATGGGATATGATTTGATTTGTGGTAACATCTGCGACGCCCAGGTTCTGGCGATCGTCTTTGGAGGAGTTGGGATGGGTGCAGGTTGGCAGGGTTCGTTGGCGCGCTGATGGTTGGACCCGACCATTTGACTACGACTACCGCCCCGAGCATGCCGAGCTCTGATTAGGATTGACACTTAGGTTACTTAGGTTGGTAGACCTTTGCTTCTGAAGTGTTTGTACGGTAGATCGCCTTTTTTCAATGCTGACCGTTCAGTTGAATGGATCGAGGTGCAATGCTTCAGGTAATTCTCCTCACAGCATTTTGCTGTTAGCTTTTGGTACTCAGAGCTGCCGCCCAGAGGCACGCTGAGCATTAGATCATTTGAATCATTAGATTAGGACGGATGAATAGGGCTGTTTGGCATTGCAATGGGATGCAAGGGCCGACATCCAGAGAACAGAAACTGCGTTGGTCGGGTTGGCTGAATTAGCAGCCGACGAAATCTAGACAACAAGCAGGTGTGACAGTGTGACAAAGGTTCGAGGTCAGCTGAGCATTGTTGTCAGAGACTTTTTATCATAAATTTTATTGACCTAGCCTATCAATATCCAATTGCGCAGCATTTTGATATTCTCCGACTCGTGAGAGTGACATGTCAATCTCGATCATTTTTTTGCAGAATTTTGTGTGAATGCTGACGGCATTGATTTGCAAGAAGCCATGCCAGTGCGGAATGATTTGTTTTTTACCGAAAGAAGTTTGTTTCAATGCGTCCGCGTATGATTCCGTTGAATAGTCAGCTTTGAATCACATGACAAATTCTCGGATGGTTTTCAATCTCAGCATTTGAGCTCCTTTCAAACGACTTGAGCCTCCCTGTTTCCGTGCCAATCCAAGCTTGATATCATATCTTTGCTTCGTGCTTCCTTCGCCCGTCATGCCAGCCAAGAGAGCACAGACACATCCATGCTGCAAATGGTGCAACAAGAGTTTGGTTTCTACCCCAAACCCGTTGGTGGCAAATCCAGGCCCCAAAGACATGATGAAGCGGCGCACCCCTTGCAGCGTTGAGTGCCGCCCGTGTTTCCTTTTCCAGAAGACACATCCATACTGTGACATGAGCCGAGTTGGGTTGCAAGAGCAGTTGAGTGACTCGCAGAACTTGGAGACATACCTCTCTGGTTTGGAAGAGTACTGTGCTGAGCGTCGTTCTGGGAAACGACGAGGCAGACACAAAAACAAAAAAAATATATACTATAATTTATATAGTATAATTATATTATTATATAATTATATATAATTATATATTATATAATTATATATATTATAAAATATATAATATCATATCATATACATACGATTTGTCATGGTTTCACGAGAATATGAATGAATCAAGTCATATCATATCATATCCCTGCAGGTGCAGATGCGGGAGCGGGCAGCGATGCTACCTATGCAGAGACGAGCTCGTCGTTTTCGACGAAACAGGTGGTTGGGTATTTCTGGCCAGTTGAGCTGTTGAAAAAGCATTCCAAGCAATTGCCAAAGAGGCTGAGCAGTTTGACCCATCAGGGCCGTGTGCTCAAAGGTGTTACCCTCGAAGAATTTGCTGTGGGTTACTCAGCAAAAGTTATCCAGTTCTGCTTTTTGGTTTGCTTGGTAAGACTGTATTTTGTTTTGTTTGGAGTCTTCTGGCCCGGACACTAACAGTACAGTATGTTTCATATGATAGCATATGATATGAAATGATAATAAATGATATAATTATATAATAATTTGTTTTGATATTTATATATATATATATTACATTATATATAATATAATATAAGTTTATATAAGTATAAAAATAGTCTATAGTCGATATAGTATTGATTGAATTTCTATAGCAAAATATTTATATAGCTGTATAAAAATGATATGATACAATACGATGATAAATATTTAATATAATATCAAATAATAATATAATATACTATAAAAATAATTTAATTATAATTATAATACATTATAATTTAAAATATAATAATAGCCTAGTATAACATATAAATTTAATAATATAATATAATATGATAAAATGATATAATATAATGATATAATATGATGATATAATATGATATAATATGATATAATATGATATAATATGATATAATATGATATAATTGATATAATATGATATAATATGATATAATATAATATAATATGATATGATATAATAATTTAATAATATTATATAATGTAATGTGATATCATATATATAATTTAATAAATAAATAATTTAATACAATAATATAAAATAATTTAATACAATAATATAATATATAATATTAATATAATATATAATATATATAATACAAAATAATATAATAAATTGTAAATAAGATAATATTATAAAATGATACAGTAAAATAAAATACAATTTATATTATTATATAATGAACCAATATAATTACAATATATTTTAATATTAATTCATGATATAATAAGATGATAAGATAATATCTTAATATATTTGCATAATATATAAGATGATATAATTTAGACTATGACTATAACTACTGTAATAATATAATATTAGATGATATTGATATGATGATATGATATATAATAAACATAACAATACAGTACCATACAATACGAAATACAAATATGCTTTTTTTCGTGCTTGGCCACTCAGGTGCCATTGAAGTTGCGACAACTTCCTCTCGTGGTGCCAAGCGTCTTGCTGAGCTTGCACGTGATGATTCAGAGAACGAAGGAGACGCAGCTTCTGCTTTTGACATTGTGCAGAAGAAGGTTCGTGTTTCAGGCTCCACGGCAGAAGGTGACGAGTCTTCGGAGATTACTTTGAAGATGGCCGGAAGAATTGAGGATGATACTGATGAACTCCACTCAATTCTCTTTGGGGATGTTGGGAAAACCCGCAAGGAGAAGGGAGCATCAGATGATGAGCAGCAGGCCGCCAAACGCAGGGCAACACTGCGCAACAAGAAGGCAGCTTCGCTTGGCAATGCTTGCGTTGGGCAAGAGGTGGAGTCGACTGGTGGGCCTGCTGGTTCCAACCCCGACAGCTCTGCTTCCACCAACTCTGGCAGTGCTTGGGCGCTATCGGGTGCCAGTTTGTCATCCAGAAAGGCAGCTGCGGAGGCAAAAGAGCTTGACAAGGCAGAAGCCTTGGTCTTGAGTGTGAACCAGTTGAAAGGTCAGCTGGGTGAGGAGACATCAGTGATGCAGGTGAGCCTGAAGTCAGCGCGCTCTTTGTGCGACAAGGTCACCGTTCGTTTGAACCCTGATGGGAGCAAGCTGTTCTTAGATGCCGTGAAGCGCAACGGGCCGGCATGCCGTGCGGCTTCCGTATGGCAATCCCTTAAGGATTCAAAAGCATGTTTGGAAGCTTGTTTGTGATTTTCAATTTCGGTTTTCGACTTGCGTTTTACACGTCATGTGCTCACCGAGCATCCTAAATAGAAAGGATGTTTTTGAAATGTTGGTATCCAAGGTTGATGCATTTTTCTAGGATACACATTTATCATTTATCATTCCTTTATTCCATCGCATCATATTACAGTAGAATACTTAACTTACTTAGAGTTACTTATGTCGGAGTCATAGTCATATTATATATTTTATTATATCATATTGTGTAATCAAATCATATTGTCACATCTGAGGAAGCGATGGACGAGTTCGTTGAAGCCCTCCATGATTCGGAGGCGTCCCCGGACACAGTGAGATCACGGGGGGCAAAGTTGAAAGACTTTTCCATCCAGCTCCCACGCAATGTGAACATTGTGATCTGCAAGAAGAATGCCGAGGAGTTTGTCCAGCAAGGCAAGCTTGATGAGTTGTTCACTTTTATGGATCCTACGAAGTCAACGGGTGACATTGGCATCATGACCGTTTTGCCGGACACCGAGAATGAGGATGACCGCAAGGAAATGATCCGTGATTTCCAACTTGGTTGCGTTACCCATTTGGTCAACAACCTCTTGCTCAAGGAATTTGCAGGTGACGCTGCAAGCAAGGAGTTGCTTGGTGGTCAATCATACAATGCAATAATGGGGGTTGGGTTAATATATATATTATATATATATATTATATATATTTATATATTATATATTGTTTGAAAAACACATAATTTGATGATATTATAATCAAATCACAACATATCACATCATGCCGTCATACCTTTTGAATATTAATATGATATGATTCGGCGCAACAACTGTGTAACTAACTGATGATGATGCTATGATATGATTACTGATATGATTCTATGATGATAAATGATATGATATTATATTATTGATGTTATTATTGTGGTTATGCGGCATGCGTCATATAATCTATAAATATGATATTATATATGATATAATATATATATATATGATATGATTTATGATTTATGATATGTTCTGACTTGATGTGTTTCGAATAGAAATATAATATAATATTTTATTATATAATAAATTATATATAATATATATGTTATATAATATATATTATATTAATAACGTTTCCCACCGTTTTTCTCAACCCTGAATCTTAGGTTCGAAGATGAGAACAAGAAGTTCATGAAGTCATGCGTTCAGAGTTTGAAGGATTTCCTTGGAGCTTTCCAGAAGTCGGACGTCTACCAGACAGCTGCTCCGGAGAAATCACAATTCCGAGATGACTTGGGTCGCATTTTCCAGCTGACTGAGTATGTCTTGAAAGGGGATGCCTTGCTAGCTTCTGAATGTGATTCCTTGCATTCCATGAAAGCTGCAGTGTCCAAAAAGGGCTTCTCATTCCACGCTGGCATGGTGACATTCCCAGTGGGGTCTTGGATGATGGATTCTATCGGGGAGATGATTGCCCAGTGCCGCCAAGACCAATTGCTTGGGAAAGAGTTTGAGTCTGTGGTGCAGTTTGCCCAGGGTCTCAAAATCACCGTGGACTACATGACAAAAAAGGACAAGGAGACCGGAGCCATTGACATCACCATTCCGAATCTCAACAAGAAGGTTGACATGGCGGCAAAGTACTTTGCCTTGATGGACTCAGCATCATCTACTGCCAGGAAGATGCTTGAGCCAGAACTTGAGATGGTTTGTGATCGAATTGAGCTGCTTGCGACCACTTTGGTTGAAGCGACGGCTTTGAAGTACGAAGAGTTCTTTGGCAAATTGAACCAGCTGCTTACTGTGTGTTTCTCAGGTGGAGAGTGGGGTGATGAGAAGTCGTCTGAAGTCCTGCAGTCCTTGCAATCCATGCAAGCTTTTCAGCCTTGGTCCCGCATTCAGCCAGCGAGGCTCGTGGGCAAGAGCAAGGCGCTCATCTTGGAGAAGCACTTGAGTTCCATGAGCTCGCTTGGCTCAGCTTTGCAAAAGGCATTTCCAAAGCTTGTTTCCTTGAAGACTGCGACACTGACCGAATCATTGCTCATGAGTTCTGAAATTCGGACACTCTACAGTGCGCATCATGATCAAGATGTGCTGACAGCTGTGAAAAAGCTTGCGCCAAAGATGCTTCCTGGCATCGACGCAATCACTACTTTGATCAGCAAGGCCGTTGCAGACTTTCTTTGCAAGGCAGCTTCAACTTTCGGTGACTTTCTCACTGGCATTTTGGAGGCAGAGCCTGTGTTTGATTCCATCTTGCAAAGCAAGGTGGTCGGAACAGTGGATCTACCCGAGATGGATGAGAAGGGGGTTGCAAAGATCGAGAATGAGATTGACTTTGGGGCACTCTATGTGGCCTTCAACCCTTTCTTTGCGGAGGACAAGACTGCGAAGCTGGCAATCAACGAGAAGCAGACCATTTCGGTTCACACATCCTTTTTGTGTGTAGCCGGGTCCCTGCTGCAGTTGTCGAAGTATGTTCTCTCTGTGAAGGAAGGTATGGAGGCAGCGAATTCCCAGGGAGACTTCAAAACAGTGATTGGGTTGCAGCTTCAGCGTGCTGCCCAAAAAGATGCTACTGGTCCAAAGGTTGATACCAAGCTTAGCCTTCTCAATACAGTGCCGCACTTCTTTCCCGGCCTTACGAAGGCTTCGCAATCCTACCAGGAGATCATGAGCAAAGCTGGTGCTACCATTGCCAACTCCGACCAGATCAAGTTCTATCACGAGAAGTTGTTGGAGACATTGGTTGCCAGCATCCAGCTTGGACTTTGACTCCATGCAGGGCTTTTTCACTGAGAACTTTGAGAAGATCAGAGCTTCGCATGCCGTCCCCGGTGTCTTCCGGGCAAGTGTTCTTGATCGTGAGACGATTTCAAAGTTGTGCCAAGGTGAGAATGTCAAGGTGGTGTTGTTTTGTGGCAGCAAAGCTGGCTCGCAGTGCAGCATGATGCAGCACTACCTTCAAAGTGTGAAAACTTTGACATTCATCCAGACCGAGGTTGGGAGTGAGGTCACATCCCTCATCGGTATGTTGGATGCATTTTCTTCGTCGAACAATGCCAAGACAATGCCACCTGAAGATGCCAAAGTTAATCTGTCAAACGTCACCTACCTTCAAGGTAGTGTCTCCTTAGCACAGTCCATGGTCCGCAATTTGAACCCCGGAGAAACCAGAACCGGGCTCATCAGCAAGTGCATGGCTTTGCTTGCCAAGACCAAGGTTACTGCTGACGTGATCTTGACCAAGAAAGCGAACCAGGCACTGGCTGGAAAGTGAGTTGATTTAGAGGGGCGCATATTTTCCAGATCCTTTTGATCTTACCATAGTTAGATTTTGTTCCGTAGTTACTGAATGGCCCTTGTTCCATGTTGCACGGCGCAATGAGACGCCGACTGCACAGCTTTGTTCGCTGCAATGTGGGTTGTTGCCAGCGAAGGTTGAGACATCAACTTCACAAGCTAAAAAGGACAGTAGAACTCAAAGACTTAAAGAGAGTCAGAAAGGTTGTGTGCCGAACAAGTGTTTCAAGACACGACCGGCGAAAGAGACAAAAAAAGAGAAGGTGCTCCGCAGAGAAGCTTTACGTTTTTGAATTGGAATCCAAAGGCTTCTTGGAGAAGCCAGTGATGGTCATGAGGAGCATGAGAATCACCAATTGTAGCATAGACTCTCATAGTCAAGTAGAGACTTACATACTGACCACCTCCCCATAGCGTAGCAAATAGCCAGGCCATATCATATCCATATCATATCATCATATAATATCATATCATATACCATATATCGTATATCGTATATCATATCATATATCATATATCGTATATCGTATATCGTATATCATATCATATATCATATATCATCATATATCATATATCATATATCATCATATATCATATTCATATAATATATATATATAATTTTATATATGTAATATATATAATTTCATATCATATCATATCGTATCATATATCATCATATAAATCATTTATCATATATCAAATATCATCATATATCATCATATATCATCATATATCATCATATATCATCATATAAATCATTTATCACATATGTATCAAATATTTTGTTGTAAGTTATCAAAAAATATTGAAACCACAACAAACTTCATAAATCAAACCAAAGGTCTGCCAAATAACCAAGTTATTTCTTTTGGTCCGTTTTTCTTATTCATGAAATTTATATAGTTTATTCTGTGATCTGGATTCATATTCTCTTGAAAATTACATCATGCTGTCACTATCATTGATCATCAGCATCATAAAATATTAGGTGTCGTATATAAAATCATCGAGCCATTGTCAAACCCAACGTAAAAAGATTAAAAAACATAAAATAGTAATTCATAATTCACAAATTCATTTATGGTCCATAACCGACTCATTAGTTACTCACAAGTATTAATTCATTTATTTTTTGTTTTTATATTTAGAATTATTTTTATTGATTTATCATCTTAATTCACATTTATGTTGTAATTTCCAAATTATTGATTAGTTGAATTATTTATATAATTTATAAATAATTCATAATTCATGACTTTATATCATTAAATTATTATTAGATAGATAATTAGAACTTTCACCATTCACAATTCATAACTTCATATTCATAATTCATAACATAACAAAACCAAGACACAAAAAGAAATGCCAATAAGAGTGAACAATAAATAGCAAACAGTGAGCAGTTGAGAAAACGCCAAAGTCAAACGTGTTAGTTAAAAAATAAGATCCAACATGTTCAAAAATAATAGTTTAAAGTTTAAACCATAAAAGTTAAAAGTTTAAAAAATACGATTTAAAAGTTAAAAAAATAAGAGTTAAAAATTAAAAAATAAGAGTTAGAAGTTAAAAAATAAGAGTTAAAAGTTAAAAAAAACAAATAATAGTTAAAAGTTAAAAAATAAGAGTTAAAAGCTCAAAAAAATACGAGTTAAAAGTTAAAAAATAAGAGTTAAAAGTTAAAAAAATAAGAGTTAAAAGTTAAAAAAAATACGGTTTAAAAGTTAAAAAAATAAGAGTTAAAAGTTAAAAAATAAGAGTTAAAAGTTAAAAAAATAAGAGTTAAAAGTAAAAAAAATCAGAGTTAAAAGTTAAAAAAAATAAGAGTTAAACGTTAAAAAAATAAGAGTTAAAAGTTAAAAATAAGAGTTAAAATTTAAAAAAAAAAACGAGTTAAAAGTCAAGAAATAAAAGTTAAAATTTAAAAATAAAAGGAGTTAAAAGTTAAAAAATAAGAGTTAAATTATACCCTTGGCAGGCCTAAAGAAAACCTGTTAGAGCTACATCCTAAATTATATGTATATGTGATATGTATATTCTATAATATTATATTATATTATCTTATATTATATTATATTATATGGTATTATATGATATTATATTATATGGTATTATATGATATTATATTATATTGTTTATATTATTATTCTATTCTATTCTATTCTATTATATTATATTATATTATATTATATGGTATTATATGATATTATATTATATTGTTTATATTATAGTATTTCATTTTTTAATATATTATATTATAACACACTATATCATAGTATATCAAATTATATTTTAATATATTATTATATTTTATTATGCTATATTATATTCTATTATAACACATTATAATATATATTATATCAAATTATATTATATTTTATTATATGTTATTAAATTATTTTATTTTATGTTATTATATTATATGTTTTTATATTTTATTATATTATATTTTATTGTTTATATTATAGTATATATTTTATATTACATTATATTATACTGCATTTTTTAATATTATATATTATACTATATTATATTATAGTATATTATAATATAATATTATATTATATTTTATTATTTGTTGTATTGTATTATATTATATTATATTATAGTATATATTATATTGTATTGTATTATTGTATTGTATTTTATTATATTGTATTATATATTATATCATAATATATTATATTATGTTATATTATATTATATTATAATATTTTATTATTTATTGTATTATATTATATTATAGTATATTATATATTGTATTGTATTGTTGTATTGTATTTTATTATATTGTATTATATATTATATTATATTATGTTATTTTTCATTACATTAGATTATGTTATATTATATTATATTACATTATATTTTATTTTAATATATTGTATTGTATGATATTGTATTATTTTATATTCTGTTACATTATAATTTATTATATGTATATTTGATGTGTATATCACACATATATATATGTTATGTATTATATTTACGTGATATACACATATAAAAAATATATATATATATATATATGTGATATACCCTGACCTTACTTCTGATCGTTGCTGGAAGCACACGTGTTTTCCTAGGGACGTTGGACTACCATTCACACAAGTAGTTCTTTCAGACCATGGTGAGAAACTCATCGTCCCAAGAACTCATGCTTACCTTCCTCCAAGTCACCTTATTTCAGATCTCTAGTTCTGCCATACATGTCGTTTCTCAACAAAAATCATTCAACATGTGCTATCTTTACCGCAACTGGGAACCCATTGGTAGCCGTTACAATTGGTACCCCTTTATGGTCAGCCACGTCATCCCCGCGGCCAAGGCAAACATTTGCTTGTCGCCAGACGTTTGATTTATACGTATGTTGTAGGCCAGTGGATCCAGGATCCCCACCGGCCACCAGGGCCACCAGCACTGGATCCATGGGAAGATCCCATAATATGTTTTTTGGGTACCCTCTGGTAATTTAACATAGCTATTGAAAATGACCATTAATAGTTGATTTTCCCATTAAAAATGGTGATTTTCAATAGCTATGTTAAATTACCAGAGGGCAATTATACTTGAAATGCAAAGCAAAGATTTAAATCCCAAGTTTGGGGGTTGAACATGTGTCCTGGCACGGGTCACCATTCTCACGAATGGTAGATATATCACCTGGATCCAGCCGGATGGTTTGGGGTATAAGCTATGTCAGGTGCTCAATTCCACTTCTACGAGACTGTGTTTCTGCGGATGCCAGATTTAAGAATAGTGATGGCTTATAACCTCTAGATTCTACATGAATTTTAAGGGAATTGTTCCCTATGTGAAACAAAAACACTTGGGATTTGGTGAATTTCAGGTTGCTGAAATATCGTCAGTTTCACCACGCGAGGCCAGGCCAGTAGCCAGGCCTTCATTTTTTGAGCCACAAAGTAGGCAGGTTCTGGTTGACTGTGGGTTTTGAATACTTTATACCTTCTGTTCTTTCGGGCAGCAAGCTGCCGCGGCTTGCGCCGGCCCTTTTTCGCTGAGGTTGCAATCCAGCTTATCCTTGCTCACTGGCCGACTCTACATCACACGGCTGTTGAGCCAGAACCATATCCTTTGCAGCATCATGTTTATGGATTCGGTGGCTGACCAACTACGCTACCAGGCCAGGACTGGGGGGGCATCAGCGGTAGCCTACCAATGTCGACATCGATATGATGAAAAATGATGGATTATACGAAATTGTAGGTGTGATGATGTGATGTTCATTGTGATTCACATTGTGATACAGATGATACAGCTTTCTTCCCTGGCTCTACTTATCCATGATCAGAATGATCATGTCCGACGGCGTTCGGATGCGTTAGGAAGTGTTTGCCTTGTGGAGTGTCCCACACTTGTTTCCTACTGCAGCTATACATTTGGATTTACATTGTGATGTACAGATTAAATGTGTGTGTGTGGGTGCGTGTTTGTGTTTTGATGTAGACGCACAAACTGTGTGCCAACGTGTGTATGCATATATGTATACACATTGTTTGTATATGCACTTACTTGTACTATCTTACACTAAATGTTATATGTATATATATATATACTCTTACACATACATAAACATATATATATATATAGTGCGCATGTACAGAGAGTATGTATAACATATATATATATATATGTACATACAGCCTCAATTTTCCTGCGCCAGATCCACGAGATCAAAGAAATCTTATTGGCTGGTTGGCAGAAGGCCCGGCGCCAGACACGCACTTCGCACTGGGCCAACGCCCGGCCCTTGGACAACTTCCGACTGGCCATGCAGGCGCGGACAATTCGGGCAATTCGGGCCTTGGTCTCTTTCGGGTTCCCCCAGGGGGATTCTAATACTGCATGTGACCATGTGTGATATATATATAATATATATATATATGATATGGGTGACAATAGACATAATTATCCAGTTGACTAAGGTCAGATATTATCAAAAGTTAATTGGCTGATTTGTTTTTTGTAAAATTGGTTGATTAACCTCATAAACTACAGATATATCTACCATAAACCCAACGTTTATTGGAGTTTTGCTTGCCCCAACTGGGCTAACTAGGGGTAGCACCTTGAGGTCTTGATCTTCACCTTGGTGAAGAGCAAGTGAATCAGGGTTCCTCCACAGGCTCCCCCTGCACATCAGGGGTGGGAAATCATGGCCACTTACCCCCCTTTTGCACCTGTGCTAGGAGCAACCTATTGATTTTCCTGCGAACGCAGACTAAGCAGCTATTGATTTTCCTTTCTTGCAGGGCTTTTTCAGATTGGCCATAAATTCTTGTGATCACTTGGGCAAAGTATACTTCGCAAGCGGAATGTCCCTTGGAATGGCCAATATGTCCAATTCATGATACCCTCTACATTCCTCCACTTATTGAACATAGAGAATCACCAATCACCATGCTCAATAGCTAGGTAAATCATCATAGTCATAATGTTTATCATCTATTAACTTAGTAGCTATGGTTATTTAACAGTTTGCTATGGTTGATTATTTCTATGGGACATATTCCATCGGTTAGCGCGGCCTGAGCGTCGAACGTTGACCCAACAGACAGCCAATCTTGTGATCATCCAACCATGGCACCTATGGGAAGTGATGTAAAACAATGTAAACTATATATAAATATATTTACATCACTATATATATATATATACATATATATATATACATATATATATATATACATATATATATACACATCCCATTATATCTCATTATCCCATTGCATCCCTATACTCTATAGGCGATACATGTTCATCGTCCCTGGCTCACATTTTTCAGGCCAAGAGGAATGTGGACAAAAGTCTCAGCGACTCTTGGACAAAAGCCCCATTGAAACAGGGTTGCTCTAGTCGATTGTGGCGAAGCATATGGAGGTTTGTTTCCTTAGGGCTACCCCAACTCATCCATTTAAAGATGGATTGTCCATGAAATAAACCATCCAGTTAAAAATGATACCATCATTTCCGGGGGACCATATATCTTAAGTTATCTAAATTTTGATCATTTTTGATTGTCCAGTTTTTCAAGATTCTTTCGGAAAAATATCCGTGAAGTTTTCCCAGTGGATCTCCGGAAAAATACCCTCTGGTGAACATACATAGCAAGCAATGGAAAGATCCACCATTCTGAATGGGAAAATCCACTATTTCTATGGCATTTACCCATCATTTACCCATCATTAACCACCATTAACCCATCATTAGCCACTATAAATGGGCCATTTTCCATTGCTATTTTGACATCACCAGGCCGGGTAGACCAGCTATCCGAGGACTTGGAGTTCACCCTCACGAAGCTGCGGCAACGGGTGACCTCGGTGGCCCTGAAGTCGGACCAGGACAGGACGTCCCGGTGATGGGATGACCAGGACGGTTATGGGATCCTTTATAGAAAGATCTAGAGTGTCCGGGATAGATATGGGATATACATACATATATATATAATGATATATATATATATGTGTAGATAGTTTTTTTTATATTATATCATGAATGGTTTGTATATAATGAATAGTTATATGGCTGTATATGTAATGAATGGTTTATATAGTATACTAGTATGATGTTGGATAGTTAGGTAATTAGATTGTACATAGTTAGATTGTACATAGTTGGGATAGTTACATAAATAGTTGGATATGGCAGATATGGGGTATACTTTGGCTTATGGCATACTATGTCTTTCATCGGATTGTTCATGGGAGACACTACTGTTTGGAAATGAGGTTTTTCGAGGTTTTTTGCGTTGTTACCCCAAATGGCCATCTCAATTTTATTTGAGACTAAAGATTGATGTCCAAACAGTTCGGGATTTTTCATATCTACACCATGA